CTTGGCAATCGAAAATTCTAATAAAATCGTTTCATATAACAAAGGGAACCATGAAAAAATCGGATAGATTCACATTATTATTATTTAATTATGCATATCAAATTGTATTAACCAAACCTGGCTTAGTGCATTAAGTAAACATGTCAATTTGCATATAGATTTAAAGTTTCATTAGAGAGCGGTCGGATGCTTTTCACGAACAATTTTATACTGATTCTATATTTACAAATATGTAAGTACGTAATTCGCTACGTCGAACACGTTTTTTAATGGCGAAACAAAGAGATCCGGTCTTTTATTACATTCAATTAAAAAATTGCTTTTTGGATAATTAAATGTTTCAATATTTTTCATTTGATACTACAGATCATAGATGGTCAGATATTTGAGCTTAAGTTCATAAAACAAAATAAGAAGCTGTTTAAATGATCAAGGTTTAATAAATAAAAAATCTTTTAATATATTAATATACAGTATAACCTGATAAATACAATCATTTTAATTTCGTGAAACGTGAAATTATTCAATAATTAATTATATATATATTCATTCTATCAACCAACCCCATATTTCTCATTGTCAAAAAATTTACCTAAAAAATTCTTTTTTGAATTTTACATTGTTTTTAAATCCTTATTATAACAAATAATACAAAGAAAATCATCATTATAAATAATAATAAATAAAATATGACAATGCAGCTTTAATTGTTTGAAAATTGGGGCTGTTTAAACATTGCTTTTCATTATAATGAAATAAATTATATAAAAAAAATAAATAAATTAAAAATTCTCCTCGGCAGATTGACTGACATAATAACATTTTAAGAACTTTGGCGCTCCGCAAAAAATTTTTTTATGCCGATTCAATAGCACAAATAATATTATTTGTTTATTGACAACTTTCATTTAACTTGGATCTTTGATAATAATTTAAATTGACAATTTGTTAATATTGTTAAAGATTTTAATGGAAAAATAAACACAAAACACAATAGCTCAAAAGTGAGAGGAGACTACTTTATGTGTTTGGAAATAGTGAGGGTTCCTTCTTTTCAAATTATCGTTGGATTACCTTCAAAACATCAGGCATACATAAATCCTTTTAAAGATTCATTCAATTCATTATTTTGTTAATTAAGCTATGGCAAATCCCGAGAATACATCTTTTTGGGATAAAACTATTGATTGGTTGTTGATTTAAAGACGTAAAAGTTCAACAAGACATAAGTCATTCTTTTTATACAAAATTATTGTTCTATAGAGAGATTATCGAAAGAAAAATGTTAATAGAGAACTGCAACGAAACTATGATGTAAGGACGAATTTTTATTTGTCAAATCAAACGATAATTTTGGTAATTTTATTTATATTCAAGGAGTTTGTCTTTTTTAATTTAATCAACATTTTAATTTAATAATAAGGTTAAAGTTCAAATTGGCACATAAAATCTTGGCACCATTAATATTAATAATAAACTTATTGGGTGTTTTGCAGGAATATTCTTGGGAGGTTTTCCTGCAGATAACCTCTAATTGTATTAATGCATATTCAAAATAAAATCAGGGCAAATGACACACATTAGGTTCATCATCCTCTCGCTGAGAAAAAAAAGTTTATCCCTTCTCTACGCCAGCACAAGAAGGCAGATCCGCTAATATTAGGGACAAGCCAGCAAAGCACAAGTCAAATAACAATGACTTCTGGGATGACATTACAAAAATTGGCAATGAAATGAATGATGATGGTATGTGGACTTCTCATAATCTTTCATAATATAAGTAGGGTTTCAATATGGCCTGTATTTAATGGATCTAAAGTTCGATGCAATATATCGATTAGGTCGTTTTACCTCCCCTGTTAATGTAATTCTTCTGCAGTAAAGGTTGGAACAAGATAAATTATTACATGTGTTGTAAAGTTTTGATTCAACATATTTATTCAACAGAAATTCTGCTAAAATTTGCGTAGAAAACTTCCGTAGCACGCAATATTTAAACAATAAGTTTCAAATTGATAAGAGTTAATTTTTTTATTTTTTACTTTTATCAATTATAATTATTTTATTATTTTATTACAGAAATTAACAAATTTTCCTTAAACAGCAGTTGGCTTAAATTAAAATTTACCATATACATTCATTAAATCATAAGATCGTTTTTAAGATTATTTTTAATTTGATACAAATCATTGGCACATCATCAACTTTTCAACTGCATATTGATTTAATATAGAAATTATTTAACCAATATCGATTATGTTTGCATCTGCGGACTTGATGCAACTTATTTGCAGCCAGTTTTTGTAATTGCGGTAGGTATCTTTAATTCACATGTATTTATGGAGAAAATCAAAATTAGTCATGATTTTGGAACTTATAAAATAGAATCAACTTGTCATAGTCGGATTCATATATCGTTTGCAAACCTCAAAAAAACATTATCTACTTTATTTCCAACATTCCTTATAAAGAAAAAACCTAATTAACAGTCAGCATAATAATTGATGACAACACGGAATAATTCAGGCTGTCGACTAAAAAATTTTTGAACACCTTTGACTCGATTTCGATAGCTTCGTTATAATCCACATTTATATATATATATATATTATATATATTGATATAGTAATAGTGAATTAGTATA